ATGAGGGTCGGGGCGTCGCCGATGGGCGTGTCGGCCGAGGACAGGTTGGGCAGGGAGAGCGCCAGCCGCTGCATTTCTTCATCGCAGGTCTGCTGCCGCGTGAGCTGGGCTTGGGACTCGCTTCTCAGTTGGGTCGCCTCGGCGCGCAGTTGGGAGATGCTTGGTTCGGTGGGGGTGGTGGCATCGTCCGGGTTCTTTGCTTGAGCGGCGGCGATCTCCGCGATGGCTTTCTCGAGTTTCTTGATCTGGGACCGCGGGGCGCGAAGGTTGACGTCGATCTCGCCGATCTCGTCGTACAACTGCTGGATGGTGGAGGGGTGTTGGGCGTGGGCTGGGTAGTTGCGGTCGCGACAGTTCTGGGCGTATAGCTCCGGGTTTTTGCGGATGTGCTTCACGTCGGGGGTGGGTTTGGGCGCGGTCGGCGGGCGGACAAGCTGGGAGCGGCGGCGGGCGGAGGAGGAGAAGGTGCGGCGAGTGAGGGCTCTGCAGCCCAGGCAGATATAGGGGGGATTTGGCGGAGGCATTGAGAGGGGATTGTGTGGATTGAGGTTGGAGAGCAGCAAAGGAAGAGCGGAAGAGAAGCAACAGCAGGAGAGCAGGAGATTATCGATGGGTTGATGAATTGACCCGCTCCACCTTTCCCGATCGGGTAAATATTTACCTTACGCCCCCGCGGCCGTATTGAATTCATATTAAGTAGAGTTTGGACCAATATTCCAGACATAATCTTCACTACCAGGGATATAGATACCCCATTCAATGATAAGACGAAAACATCTCTAGAAAAACCGAATCATGACGTACATACATACATTTCATGCGGAGAAACAATCTGTACCCAAATACTCAGTCACTCACCCTCACCCCAACGCACCAAACCAAACCAACTATACCACACCCCACCTCCTTCCTCCCCCCCCCAAATCCATGTTTTATCCCCCCCGGATCTTCACCCCTAAAACCCCAATTTATGCTTCCTCACCCTCGCCCCAACGCCCACCACCACCAAAACCGCCCCAATCAGCACCCCCCACAGCGGAATATCCAACACATTGAGGTTGTACGTCGTCTGCGTCGCCGCGGCCACCGTCGCCAGCTCCAGCCCCAGCAGCAGATACCCGGACTGGCGGTGGTACTTGTACAGGGTCTTGCCGCGGTCGACACTGCCCAGCACCTGGCGGGGCAGGAAGTACTGCACCACGCCGCCGGCGGCCTGCAGGATGATCACGATGTAGGTGACCAGCCCCAGCACGCCGTGCGGGGAGGTGAAGCGGGCGTGGTCGCCCTTGTTGATCTCAATGATGAGGAACGCGGCCAGGAAGCCCAGCACGCTCAGGGCTTGGACGGTATAGTGGATGACGGTGCCGCGGCGTTTCTGGACGGCGGTGGCGGTGGGTTGGAGGATGAGGGCGGCTTGGACTTGGAGGAGGAGGGCGGCGGAATTGAGGAGCTGAACGAACACGGTGGGGGGTTAGATGGATGGATTTAGATGAAAATAGGAGGGGAGACTGACTGGGTGCGGGGAGAAGAAGATGAGAGGATGCGAGAGGATGCCGGTCCAGACGAGGATGGTGATCTGATTCAAGGCGTTTGGTTAGGATCTTGGATCGCTCGATGGATGCCATCGGTGGGTGGATGTGGAGGGTCTTACCAGCCAAATGCCTACTTGGGCGGCGAGGGCAGTACCTGGAAATTCAAATGAGGGTTAATCCAGTGGTTGTTCGTGATTTATCTTGATGGCTGGAATACGCACCTCGGAAGAGGTTGGGATACAGAGAAGCATTGTCGTCGTCGGACTGAGGCCCATTGCCGGGAGTAGACAACAGCGGAGAGTCCTCGCGGGAATCGATGCTGTCCGGATGCAGCTGGGGGATGCCTGTGGCGGAGGCCATGAGGGCGTTGGAGTTGTTACAGTATGGCTCAAAGAATGGAACTCAGCAGTATCCTAGGTAATTTATCGATCAATAATCGCGGTGGTGTTGGAAGGGGCCAATGGGCAGGGGGTTATATGTCAGAGAGTCCGAAGCGAGCATGACGAATGTGGGGGGGAAAATGATGAATTGCTGCGGGGAAGATTGGAGTTAAGTTATAACTACTCAGTACGTACTAAGCTACGTACTCTCATAGATAGACTGTAAAGTTAATACAAGTTCTACTGTACATAACCCCGAATTTCCAATATCTCCGAAAGACTCCGATCCAGTCAAAGGCTCCGATTTGCTCAGCATCGGTCTATAACTGATCAGGATGCCCTCCTCACCAGCTCTTGTATTATTCTGGCATGTGTTCGACAGGAAAAAGCAAGAAAAGAAATCGATCAATGAGATCAAAATCCAAGAAAACAAATGTGTAAATTAATAAATTCCAGCTAAGTCAGAGAAAGCACACAAGCAAATTCCGACTCCGGAAATTGCTTTGTCTGATTGAGAGATCTTGTGGAAGCTATTGAGATAAGAGAAGGACAAATCCTTATCTTACCGTACTGTACCTTACCTGAACAGTAATACAGTGTGAACATCACCACCACCACCACCACCACCACCACCATCTACTCCCCGTTGATCCTCAACCGGAGACACCCACCGTTACTCGTCCGAGTCCCCTCCGGCATCCTCGGGCGCGGTGAAGTAGTCCGATGCTAGTCCAGAACCCGGGGAGCACGTGCCCTCGCTACGTGCTGCGCGAACAGCACGGGGGGCCTCGAGAGCCGCTCCGTCAGCCTGAACCGCATAGTCTCCATAGTGATAACCACCAGGTTGGTGAGTAGAGGACAGGCAGCGAACAAGGCTTTTGGGTCGGACTCGAGGGGGCCGCGGCGTCTCGGCGTGTTTGGCAAAGTGCTCCGCCCAGGTGGCCTCCAGCGGCACGGTTTGAACGGGAGTCGCTTCATCATCGGTGGCTGTTGCAGCAGGATCAGGATTGGGATTCTGCGCCTCTTCGCCACCAGTAGTGACAGAGACAATCGCTTTCTTCGACGCGGTTTTGTTCGCAGGTGCAAGACGAGCTGCGGGGTGTGGGGTGGATGGACGAGTTGGCAGAGCGTGAGGGTGTGGCGCGTGGGGTTGCTGGCCCTTTCTCTCTGCCTCCCACTGAATGTGAGCTTGTTCTTCGGACATTGTCGGTTTGGGTAAAACTTATCTGAAAGGATCTGCGCGTAGACAGGACAGTCAGTGACAATGTATGGCGATGAGGAATGAATGGCATTCGATCTCAGGGTGGGATTGGTGTCTTTATATAGCTGCGAGTCTATCGGGAAAGAGCAACATTCATCATCGAGTTCATAGTATCGTCTGACAACTACATCAAAGAGTATTCTCGAGTCTTTATTGTGACAGCATTCATGCCATTCAACCAAGCGAAATGCTCCACCATCAATACTGCCTAATTCCAACACAAAGGATTCCGAAGCTATTATCTGTTCTTCACAACATACCAGTGCCAGTTCCTCCTATCACCGCCATGGCAACTTGATCACCGAACTCTCCATCCCTGATCCAGGCTTGCCAAACACAACCTCCGCCCCCAGATTGCCTTCCTCCAACCGCATCACGATGTTGAACAACGTCGCCGTCCGGACAATCTTTGGTTGTGCTGGATCCTCCTGCCAGCAGATCGACTGCGGGCCGTCGCAGGTATCAGAGAAGATCTGACCGCGAAGCACCGTACCCGCAAACTCAGCACCATCCCCCTCCAGGACCTGGCTGTCGACAATCTCTCTCGCCAGCTCACGCACCCGGGCCAACCGGACCGGCGACCCGGACAGCCACGGCGGCTCGATTACCCGCCGGTTGAGCAGGAAATGGTTCGTGTGGGTGACCATGCCGTACTCGTCCTCAGGGAGATGATCATCCCCAAGAGGGGAGAGCTCCAGCCCGAGGGCGACAGTCGGGTCGGCGATGAGAATGTGCTGGCTGGAGGCGACGCCGCCCAGAGAGGACAGTTTCTGAACAGCCGTATCGACGGAGTTGCTCTCCAGACACAGGCGCAGGGCGATATGGATCGGCAGTTTGGAGCTGAGACAGGGATGGGCGCGGATGGCGTTGAGGCAGACGCCCACGCCGGCGCTGTTGAAGCCGATCTTGCCGACGATGCCGGCCTGCTCATTGTCAGCATCTCATGACCAGCAGAGGAGAGAAGACCCAAGGGGACTCACTTCCGTAACCATGTAAATGACTGGTTTGTCCGGTTGGATGATCTCGACCAGGGCGAGGTTGCCCTGTACTCGCGTGGTGAAATCCCAATTCTGGGCGAGGATGCGGCCCCGGTCCCGTCGGTGCAGCGCGAGACTCGTGCAGCCATCGGCAAACTTGCCGAAGGAGATCTCGCTGCGACAGTTCAGGGCGACGATCTCCAGGAGTTTAAGGCCCGCCCCGTCGGCGATGCCTTGCATCTCGGCCAGGAGGTCGGGGGTGGACCGCGCGATGGTGGCGCGGAATTCCTCGGCCAGGACGAGCACGTCATCCCACGACATCTTCGAGGTATGTTGGAACATGGCCTCGTAGACGGCGAGCTGATTCCTGATCTGGGAATAGAGTTGCTTGCCATGTTGCAGGCCGATCTGCGACGTCAGATGGAACGGTTGATACCAAGGTACTGCATTAGCGACTTACTTCTCGCGGCGTGCCGCTGAGCACTATCTTGGGAGGTTCTTCTATCTCCACATGCATAGTGAGATTGTCGCGTCAAGCAGACTGATACAAAGGAGCAAAGAAGCAAAGAAGGCGAAGAGGGAGAAAGACGGTGCGACCTGCGCGGGGGAAGTTCTTATCAATCACTTGCTCCCGCATGGCCAAATGCGGGGAAAGCAAATCACGATAACCACTTTGAGCCAATGTTTACATGCCTGCATACAACCTAACTCATGATGAGTTCTTCATGAATTCACTTTCCCAACACCTCGCTTAAGGGTAGCCCATCCCCACAAACAGGATGACGATAATTCCAAAGCAGTGTCAAATCGAGAACAGGCGAACAGCCTATCCTACTCTCTCTTAGTTCATCTCCAACACCCACACCAGGCACCCATCCATACTGAGATCCACTCTACTGTTCTTTTCAGCCATCTCTCACTGTTCTCTCTATCTATAGATACTTTCTATTCATCGAGATACACACTCTCTATCGAAGCACACACTCTCTATCAAAACCCACACTCTCTATCGAGACACACACTCTCCATCAAAACCCACATTCTTCATCAAAACCCACACACTCTCTATCAAAACACACACTCTCTCCATCAAATTCATCCTTTCTCTCTTTTCCTTCCATCCAGAGACCTCAGCAACCTCAGCAACCTCACCAACCATCCCATCTCCGACCCCCCAAGCCAAAATGACCAAACCCCACCCAACCCTCACCGAACAGCTCCAAACCACCTACGACGCCCTCCTCCGGATCCTCTACACCCACACCGACGCGCAGGGCATCTCGCACCGTCCCTACGGCCTCGATTGGATCGACTTCGAGCGCCTGATGTACCGACTGCTGCTCCTGCAGGGGGTGGCGCGGCCCGGCGACCGCATCGCCCACGACCCGTGGGTGCTGTTCCTGGACCGGTATGCGCCGCGCTCGGTGCGCCGCTCCCCGAGCGAGGCCGGCCGCGTGGAGGTGGCGTTCTTCCCCAGCTCGATTCTGCAGTCGCCTTCCTCCGGCTCTCCTCCCCGCTTGGTTTCTGGGGGTGTTGAGCAGGGTCGTCGCGGCGTCAATGGCTACGCCAACGGCAGTACTGGCAGCAACGGCTACGCCAACGGCAACGGCTATACCGGCAGTAACGGCTACGCTAGCAGCAACGGCAATGCCCCCATCAACGGTGACAGCGCTGGACCTCGTCCTCGGGTGGACTCCAACGGCCACGTGCATTTCGATCATACGGCTGTGCAGCGGGACCCGAGTCAGAGACGGTCGCCTTCTATCCCTAGGTACTTTCAATGACTCTGCCTTCTGGGGGGTGGGTAAGTTTGAGACCTTTCAGGCATAACAATGAGAGTGTTGATGAGTGTGCAGATATCGATCAAACAGAATTCAAGTTCACGCACACTTTACCCTGTCAATATCTGTGTGTTCGTGACTGATGAAGCCATCTTCTTTCATTTCTTCTGGAAGAGAAAGCACGATATGCGTGATGCATCTGGTGCTAGACTATGTGGAGGTGTTCTCTGGAGTTGGAGTTCGGGTTGACTTTTGTTCTGGCTATGTGTACAGAGTACTCTTTGATTTGTTGGGGATTCTTCATGCTGATGCTGCGGTGGTGATGTTTGTGTTTGTTGCAGTGTACAGCGTGCGTTTTCTTTCTGGTATCTGTTTGAGATTGTTATGAGCGACGATGATGATCATGAAATGTCCATGGGCTGGATGGGTGCGATGGAAGGGCGTCTAGGCTTTTGGTCCGACGTTGGCCAATTTACTTACACCTTGATGGAGTTCGAGTTGAGTTTGGTGTTTTCTCGGGTGTTGTGTTGTGTATGGCAGAGCGTGGACTGTCAAATCTGGGAGCAAGATCTTTCCTGTGTTCCTGCTATCGATGTACAGTACCGAGTCTGTATCTCCCTTGAATTACTTGTGTCGCATTGCAGTTACTGCTTTATGTGAGCACCCATCGAAAGTGTAGAGCGCAATCAGACCGGAGACCACCACCTCCCTCGTCCTCTCCACCCCACCGACCCCATACATTACCATCACCTTACACAGCACAGCACACCCTAACCATACCCATCAAGCATATAGACCCAGACCCCTTATCTCCGACCCTCCTTGCCCCCACGTCCAAAGCCGCCTATCCCCGAACTCAAGCAAAACCCGTCAGCAAACCCCGGGAACCAGGTCGCACAAATCAGCCAGCCCCCCGAGACGAAGGAGGGGCAGGTGTCACGCCCGTGTAGAAGGTGAGGTAGAGGAGTCTCCTTTTCTCTTCTCATCCTTATCTTCTCAAGGTAAGCAGTTGACGAGGGCTGAGGAAAGAGGCGAAACATTTTCATTCCAATGAGATCGGGTTCCAACCCCGGAACTGCCTAGCCATACCAGAACCTGGAAGATGGGATAGATGGGATGGGATGGTGGGTTTATGTACCTAAACATCTCTAACGGTTTTCTTTCTCTTTCGCGGAATAGAACTCGACAGATTGGAACTAGAAATCTGCTTGGGAAGAGAGATATTGTGAGGATCTGAGCGTGGGAGAAACACGCCACTAATGTAGTCTATACACAAAGAAGATTCTCCCAAACCTGAAGCTGCCTGCGTGAGATAGATACTAGCTATCTCCCCATACCCCCACCCCCCACCGAAGACCACGATGCTCTACTGTAAACACACGCAAGAACCCCCCCCCTCCACCGTGTCAGGAAGATCCACACGAACCAGATAACCCACAGACAAGTAAACAGCAAAAGAACCCGAGAACCAAAGTAAGTTCCCCAATGCACCGGCTGAAACAGTCACTGGCATCTCTGCTTATTCCGCAACTTCGTTCGGGGCTATCGTACTGTACCACCGTCATAACTTTGTACACGATCTCTTTACTTCTTCTCGAACCGAACCCCGAAACGAAAAACCTCCGATGGAAGTTTCTGTCCCGAACTTTACTTTTTTCTTTTCTCGGATACATTCGATCGGTTGCTCATCTGAGACAGAATCTCGGTGTCATCTTCCCTCTCGGTTCTATCTTCTGTCGATAGGATTATCCAAGTCAAGTGGGGGCGTTTTCTTCCCCCACCAGACTTCTCAGACACCAGAAGGGCTGGTCCGGTTTCTGGGTCGGTTGTGTGACGGTGGTTTATACATAGTAACATACAAGTAAGTAAATGAGTGGCTTCACGGTCCAAGGTCCACGTTGAAGTAGGTATACTATACTGCAGTTAATCCTCTTGCCGCTCCAGTCGCCGTCCGCCTCCCTTCTGGTTGATTACTGGCAAGACGTCATGGGGTGGGTGGGCACCTGGTCCCGTAGGTTATCGACGAATTATAATTACAACAATGAGCTACGGTTCTTAGGCGGTGGATCCTGTTCTTGCAGAGAAAAGAAAGATGTTTCTGCTTTAGCATTGATGGTGCGGCGGCGATAGTGGCAGTGGTGAGGTGATTGTATGATATTACCAGTCCAGTACTGTACCTCAGGTTCTGTTATTCTCTTCTGATTCCGTGCGTGGTAGGAGCTTGGATGGTATGTGTAGTCCATATTCATATCGTGACCTAGGATAAGGCAGCGGTATGTCTATGTATAGTGCAGTTCCCAATGGTGCAGTACCAACCAGTATAGTACCCTACCAGTAACCTTGGTGAACGCGTTATACTCCCCTGACGGGGCGAGGACCACCACTTCCTTCTCTCAAAACACTACACCACGAGATCCCAAGAACACATAATCTCCTAACTACTCCAACTCAACACAACATGCAGAGCGCTCACTTCGCAACAAGCGCAGACAGACTATTCCGTTCCAACCAGAACAAAAACCCATTGCCATTGTCCCAGGAAAACAGGAGAGCAAGAGAGCAAGAGACCCAAACCCCGAGCCAATCCCATTAGAACGAATCCTGCCCCAACAAGTCGAGCATCACTTTCACCACCGTGACTAGCCCAACGCTCACAGCATTCCAGCCCAGTAACACGGCAGTCACGATCTCACCCGGGCTGTGCCTATGTACTGTCCCTAGTAAATAAGTAAGTCAGTGTCCATGTATCTACGCAGTACGCAGTAGCAGGAGAAAGTGAACACTCGGCAACATCGACATCACCAGATCAGATCAGATCAGATCGCCCACCCTAAGCCCTAGCCTCATGATCTACACCCCCTCCCCGAAAAAGACAGGGGGGTTCCGCAATCAGGGATCTATGTCTCTCGCCTCGACCGTTGGAAAGTCTTGTCTCGGACTGATTCCAACCGTTGCGCGCCGCCACCCTTACCTAAACGAAGGATAGACACTTCCCTCCAACGGGAGCAGATCGCATCACTACAGATCTGCAAGGAGCCCGTTGACGTTGACCGGTTGACCGGTTGAGGACCGCATGATCAGACCATACACACACACACACACACACACAACAGACAACACACAACAGATATACCGTATCCACGGATGGGGACATGAACGCATGCATTGCCTGGAAAGGGAATTGAACCAGAGAAAAAGAAGATGCAACAGGAGAAAAGGTTCAGTAACCCTTTCAGGTCCCAAATCAGTTAGTATGACAGCTGCGTTGCTCCAAGGCCACTCGAGCAGAGCAGCTTTGTAACAAGAGGATCCAAAGTCCTGTCTGCCATCGGAGATCCCCCTTTAGAACAGATTGATAGAAACGATCATAGAACCAACCCCCCTCCCAACCTTCGCTCTTGCCCTCTCTGCCCGTCATTCTTGTCTGATTCTCTTCGAGTCTTCTCCTTACCCCCCTAAAGGTTGCACAACAACGCATCCAGCGGCTACATGCAGATCACTTCGGAAAGAGCCACGAATCGGGGATTATAAGGCCAAAATGCCATCGACGGCGGCAGCAGCAGCAGCAGCAGCAAGAAGCTCTCGCCCCCCTATACCAGCGAAAGAAGGAGGCTGCTGGTGCTGCTGCTGTGGTGGTGGTGCTCGTCCACGACCTTAAGAAAGTAAACCAGGGTTTCTCCCTGCTTTTCGTCCATTGGGAGTAGCCGTGAAGCTACACACCACACACACATCCATATACACACTTGTTTCTGTAACCTTGAAAGACCCCCCCTCCCCCATTTTACCCCGGAAAATACCCAATTGTCTCGACAAGGTCAACCGAAATCGCCTCCTGCCACTCGCTGGGACACCTAGCCCAAAAATGAACGACATTCCTCTCAGGGACAGGACATGCAACATCATTCTCTCTGGCAGAATGCCCTATTTCTTTTTTGGCGGGTAGACTGGGATCAATCGGTGTAACAAACAGGTCGCATGGCCTTTTTTTTTTCCTTTCCTCGGGGGTATGATGCTCGTGCTGGAAAAAGACGGGGTCAAACTTCGGTGAGCGTTCGTTATATGATGGAATGAAGAGGCGAAATTTCCGGCGGCCCACTACATATGCAAGAACCGCATCAGCGAACATGGACAATGACAGAGTAAAAAAGAAGGGCCTGAGCACCTCCCCTCCCCGTAGCTGCCATCGATTCGGACCAAGGTTGTGAAGGTAGCTTTCTGGGGAAGAGAGGGAAGGATAGGCTGCGCTTTCAGGCACAATCATGGAAAAGCCCAAGGCACTTTGCAGCAGGTTAATTGAAACCCACGTCTCCCGCTCGCCCTTCTCTTCCTCCTCCTCCTTCTGCCCCAATCTCTTCTCCCCTAGCCCGGCCGACGATAGGCTGCGCTGGTGTCATCTTGACGGTTTCACAACTCCATCCCAAACAGGAAACGAACGATACCATCATCCGTTTCGGGGATTGGCCCCCTCGGGCAACAATCACGAGATAAGGACACAATTGGCACTGGGCACGAGTGAATCTCGAACACCTCATCCGACTCATCCCAGAGGCGAGGAATTTATAGAAACAAAAGAATCAAAAAGGAAAGAGGTGCTGGCTTGTCTGTGTCGGTTTTGGGCCCTTTTTTTTCTTTCTTTCCTCGTCCTTGTTGGCAGCAGGTGCATCTGATGGTCCTCGTCTGGTATCACCGTGGTCCCTGTCACAGGAGAAGCAGACAACTGAGGAATATTAGGGTCTGGGAGGCAACAGATTAAGATAAAGACCAAGGAGAGTCCTTGACCTCCATTGAAGAACCGCTCTCGAGCCCCCAATTCCAGCCGTTCCTCTTTCTGCCATCCCTTCTGGAAACCCATTAGAAACAAAAGCTTTCTCTCTCACACAAACCCTTTGGGCCGGCGTCGTCTCCCTCTCTTCTTCATATACCTGGAAAACATCAGAAGTGACTTCCACTACTTGACACAACGAAAACCCCTCATCTGACAAAGCTCGATTGGACTTCATTGGCTTCTTGCTGCCCTTGGGCCTCCTTTCACCACTTGATCCTCTGTGATACTCTTCTCCTCTCATTGTCTTTCTCTGCCGCTTCTCCACCTCTGTCTCTGGATAGCAAGCCGGCCTGCCATGCCACCCAAGGGCCTTTACCACCAAGCTGCTCTCCCCGAAGCACGAGGGCTGAAGTATGACGAGTCCGACATGGCTCTCTTCCACGCCAAGCTCTCCTATCACTCCACTATCGAAGCCCGCATGGCATCCAAGGACTCCAACCTAGCATCGATCTCGGATGCCCAAGCGCGGATCCTCAAGCGCTGGGAGATGCTGAAGCAGGTGGAGAAGGAGATGGCAGACAAGGGCAAGTCTCTGTCTCCCGCGGAAAGAAAGCAGCTCGCACAATACGAGTGGCGGTACAAACGACTGGAGGAGGTGGCGACCCAGAGCACTAGCTGAATGGGAAAAACAAAGGGAAAAAAAAACGATAAGAGAAAAACAAACACCCACGGCATAATGTTGCAGCGCCGACCGTGGGGAGAGATAGCATCACTGGCGTTGGTCTAGATGTGGATTCGAACAACGCACTGGTGTCAAGATCAATTGCAAGTGAAGAGTGTGCGCGTTGCGATTTAAAAGTAAATCCGGGAGTGGTTTCGGTCTCCTTGGTTTTGGTTTTGATTCTGTTGTTTGCTTTCTTTTGGGAACTCTCCCCTCTCATTCTGCTTGTATGAGTTGAATGAATGTTTCATCATCGGTCCCACCTCTGCTTCATATGTGATGGAAGCTGCTCATGCTTCCTGAGTGACTGCAATGACCTCACCTTCCATAGTGAGTACACTCGTGACCAGCTCACGGCTCAGGGAAGGTAGGGTGTCCCTCCTCCCTCGAGAAGCTCTCACATAGTTCATGGGGCGACAAAAAAGAAAAGGAAAAAAAAAAAAAAGGAAAAAAAAATACCCGCGACGTCACGAATGTAACATAGCCTCAGCGAGACGAACACAGCATCTTGCACTTACACTGTAACTGTAACCAAGGAGGCGAAGCGGCCTCCCCCAGCCCGATGTAGATCAAGTACTGTACTTCGAGATCAGATCAAGTATATGTCTCAGAAAAGCCCCCCCAGAAAAAGAACAATAAACAATGAGGAGCATCGAGAAGTGGGGTCCGAGTGGCGTTCACGGCATCTTTCCTTTTTTTTTTTACCCTCCCATTTTCTATTTCGTCTGTAGATAGATATAGTGCTTCATCCGAGGGTCGAGTCACGTCACGCAAAAGCAATCGTGAACGGCTCGTCCTCCCTCCTCTCTGATGTCCTACATTGGGCACGCGACATGCCCTCTTCGGCCTAGCAAGTCCTGCCACAATCCAGAACCCAGGGAAGCGAAGGTCGTGTAAAGTCGCGGCGTGTGGTGTTGACACACACGCGCGCGCGCACTCCCTGTCTTGGGAGGTTCAATTACCACATGCAGCGCATCTTCCACCTCCGCCAGCAGAGGGGTTTATCCGAGGGAAACGACATGGACAAGAGGGTTTGGTATTAGGAGCAGGAGCGGTGCGGCGAGGCGTAATGGGGAAGTGAGGGGGAACAGTCACGGCACGGCAAGATCCAGCACCGCATACATTGCCTGACAGGATTTGATATCTCCCCGAGGCATAGTAGTAGCTGTGGAATGTGTTTCCTGTGAATGTTGGATTTTCCCCCTCATCATGAAAATAGAGTTGCAATTGAGAGGGTGTGTTCCCCTCGGAAAGATGCGAGCGTCGGAGACCTCCGAACGGGATCCCAAGGGCAGAAGAGGTGGGTGGGCCCGGGTGTGGGTGGGTGTCAGTCGCTTGTTGACAGCCTCTGTGTGAGGTGTCGGTTGAGGTCGGTTGAGGTCGGATCCTATAGCTACCTCTGTTAGTAACTGAGCAGGGAGGATGAGCGAAGGCTCAAACAAACACACCTGTTATCATCCCGCAAGATCACGCAGTTGAATGTCGAAGATGAAGGTGTGGAAACAACAACAAGTGTCGGAGTTGGAGAAGATTAAAGTGGGGAAAGGAAAGGCCTGCGATGAAGCGATAAGATCGAGTAATGCGGGAAAATCGGCGGGGGAATTTCTTATCGCTGACGCGCTGTATCGGGAATCGGCTGTTGCTGCACTAGTGAGGTGCCCCTCCTGACGTCGTCTATATAAAATGCCCTGCAATTCCTCTACTTCAACAATTCCTCTTCTTCCTCCTCCACACCAATTCCTCTCCATTGTTTCCAATCTCTCCACTCTACCTATTCTCAGTCACAAACCCACCACCATGGCCACCACCGAATCCCCCTACATCCCCGGCCCCGAAATCGACAGCACCTTCGCACACACGACCAACCTCGCCTCGTCGGCCTTGAACACGCGCGTCCTCGCCTGCAGCAACGAATACTTCGCCGCGGCGTCGAACCTCCTCACGCCGACGGCGCCGATCAACCGGCCGGGGGTCTTCATCCACACGGGCGCCTGGTACGACGGGTGGGAGACGCGGCGCCACAACCCGGACGCCTACGACTGGGTGGTGATCAAGCTGGGGACGGCGCGGGCCGCCATCCAGGGCGTCGAGGTCGACACGGGCTTCTTCGTCGGCAACTACGGCGAGAAGGCTGAGGTGCAGGCGACGTGCTCCGACGCCGACGACGCCGTGCTCGCCGACCCCAGCTACGCCGGCTGGACCACCATCCTTCCGCCCCAGCCTTGTGGGCCCTCGCAGCGCCGCGCCTGGAGGGTTCCCGGATTTGACCCAAAGAACCCCACGCCCTACACCCATGTGCGTCTGCTCATGTACCCCGATGGGGGCTTTGGGCGGTTGAGGCTGTATGGCCATGCGATTCCGGCGGCGCGCGGGGAGAGGGTGGCTGTCGCTGGTGCACAAGAGGAAGAGGAGGAGGAGGAGGAGCTGTCGTCGGCGTTGTGCGGGGGTCTGGCGCTGGCGGCCTCGGATCAGCATTATACCCCGTGCTCGAATCTGTTGCTGCCCGGCCGCGGGAAGGATATGGGCGATGGGTGGGAAACGGCGCGGTCGCGCGCCCCGGGCCATGTCGACTGGGCCATTGTGCAGCTGGGGCTGCCGGGCGCCGTGTCCAGGGTCGTCGTCGATACCAAGGACTTCCGGGGCAATTTCCCCCGCGCGGTCCGCGTGCACGGCTTGGTGAAGGGGGAGGGTGGCGAGGGCGGTCCCGTCGCCGTGCCCGCCCATGATCATCCCGGCTGGGTGGAGATCGTCAAGGGCGACCAGCGCTGTCAGGCCGATACCGAGCATGTCTTCCAGGGTGCGGATCTGGCCGCAGGTGTCGATACCCAGGCGTTCACCCATGTGAAGTTGACCCTCGTGCCGGACGGTGGCGTGAAGCGCTTCCGGGTCTTTGGCAGACGGGCCTAGGTCGAGGCTTGTGATGAGCGGTGCCTTCTGTTTAGTATGTAATCTTCAGCGTGGTAAATTGCAAATAATGAGAGATACGATCCTACATAAATCCATTATTCAGAAGATCATGTACCGGAAAGGGGAGGTTTCCAGTACAGTAATGTGTTTTCGACATTCGCCTAAGGATAAATTATACTGGGAAAAAAAAAAAAAAAAAAAAAAAACAACGCAGGAACAACGTTAAGCTCCGTATAATTCATCGTTATAGCTTGCTAGCAGCCAGACTAGGTAGGGTATATCACTATAAAAATTCAATAATCTACTTCATCGTGAGGGATCACAATCAATCGATCGACAATAGTGGAAACGCCGCGGCGAAAATAACACATGCTCTGTTGGGTGTTGCAAATACAATTCCAAAAGGGTAGAAAGGTCATGCTCGTGAGAATCTGGTATCGGTATCGGTATCGGTATCGGTATCGGTGTCGGTGTCGGTATTGGGAAAAGGCAGAAGAAGAAAGATGGAGGGATTTTCTCAACACAAATTCCCTGAGAGAACAAACTGACGCCATGAACTAAAGTCCGCTGGTCCAAGGAACAACACAACATGAAAACCCCCGCCCCGTGTGAATGCTGAAAGGTATCAATTCGAACTGGCATGCCGAATGCAAACAAATGCCATGGAGGAACGTGGTCACAACCGTGATAAGTGTGGCGTAGAAAGCAATATTAATCAAGACTCGAAATATCATCCGGGGCGCCGTTCCGTCCGATACTTCGTTCCCGGTCCCAAACAAAAAGAGAAAAAGAGACGAAAGATATTATAGACCCCCTTGGCACAAAGCGAATAAATCAGGTTTGAATACGTAGCAGTACATTGTGGCACTTTCTGACTGCCGCTGCCGGAGGTTGGAGACGCGCAGAAGTTGAGAGGAGACAAAAGAGGAATTGCGGACGTGCGATCAAGGACGGTTCACGCTGGCAGAGGCATCTACTCGGAGCGGAACTTCTCCGCATTCTCGGCCTTGAGGCGGTCCCGTAGAAGAAGTAATGGCCGATTGGGGTCCAGGAGCCCCATCATCATCTTGCCCAGTTCATTGTGTTTGATGGGTTTGGTGACATAGTCGTTGAAGCCAGCACGTGCGGCATCCTCGATCTGATCGGTCATCGCGTTGGCCGAAAGGGCCATGATCGGGATTTGTGGGTAGTGGTTCTTTGACTCCCAAGCACGAATGTCACGGCACGTCTCGTAGCCGTTCTTGATGGGCATTTGGATGTCGCACTGCAGGTCGTGTCAGCGAACTTGGGATCATTGAGTCCGCTTGCTGCGATGTCTTTCACTTACAATGATGAGAGAGTAGTATCCTGGTTCCTTGGAAAACACCATTTCTGTACACTCTTGTCCATTTGTGGCTGTCTCCGCCATGACCTTGATCTTGTCGAGGTATTTCATCATCACCTGAAACACGTTAGCATACAGGGTAACACACAGCGAATTCCACATGTGTTCACGCTTACCATACGGTTCGTATCATCATCCTCAACAAGTAGCACTCGGTAACCCTTGTTGCCGATGACCTCTTTCACCATCTTCGACATGGTCTTGAAATTGTTGTTGATTTCCCGGGCCATATCCTGGTTCCTGTCCTTGCTCAAATCGCGTCGATTGTCGGGATCAAATATAGAGGAAAAGGCGGACGGCTTCACCGGTTTCGGAACAGTGTATATACGTCTCCCGCTAGAGGCCAACTCCTTTATCCTAGCATTGATTTGTCGCTTCTGATACAGGTCGGAGATGATGACCAGACTTGGTGCGGTCTCCAACTCGCACTCGGAGACATAATGCATCATATCCAGGACGTCATCCACGTTGGGCAGGTTGAGGACCAAATGGGTAGGCTTCGTGACATCGCTGACCGAATCCCTCCAATCTTCCACATCAGGGGTGGAGGTGATAGAGAAGGGGACTTCCAGAGGGACCACCTGCTCGATGTGTTGTTTGATAGCTTGGCGGGTATTGTCCAGAGGACAAAGAATAAGGATCGAGTAAGAGCTGGGTAAAGGCTGCG